GCTAAACACTGAGTATTGGGGTATTCCACAAACCTGTTCCTTTGTTTTCTTTTTTTTTAATTTTTTAAAATTTTTTTGACAGGCAGAGTGGACAGTGAGAGAGAGAGAGAGAGAGAGAGAGAGAGGTCTTCTTTTTTCCGTTGGTTCACTCCCCAATGGCCGCTGCGGCCGGCGCACAGCGCTGATCCGATGGCAGGAGCCAGGTGCTTCTCCTGGTCTCCCATGCGGGTGCAGGGCCCAAGGACTTGGGCCATCCTCCACTGCACTCCCAGGCTACAGCACAGAGCTGGACTGGAAGAGGAGCAACCGGGACAGAATCCGGCGCCCCGACTGGGACTAGAACCCGGTGCGCTGGCGCCACAAGGCGGAGGATTAGCCTAGTGAGCCACGGCACCAGCCTTCCTTTGTTTTCTAAGAGGGAGTATGCTGTCTCAGTGTAACACAATGGAATTGTTTGTTATTTAAACCTGGGAGAAAGTGTAATTTCCTAGCTGTGTGACCTTGGACTGTTACTTAATCTCTCTGGGCTTATGTCACTTATACATAAATTAAGAAAATAATTGAACTTCCCTCATGGAAAAGCCGTGAATTTTAAATGACATTGAACAGGAAAAGTGTTAAGCAGAGTCTCATCCATGTGCTGAACTCCTTCCCTGTGCAACTAGTTGCTCTCTCTCAGTCCTGTCTCTCCCCAGTGTTTCCTTCTGTCATGTCAGGGCCTTGCTTGATTTCCTAGACCCTCTATGCCTTCCTCAGCACCATATGAAGGTGCAGTTCCCTGAGTAATCACTAGAGTCAAATCCTCAATGTCTGAACTTGAGCCTACTCTCCCTTTATTTTTGTAGAGGATTAAGAAACAGCTTCCCTATCTATTAAGCTGAACCTCACTTGACCATGAAATTCTCTTGAGCCCTCCTACTGCTGCCCTATAAATGTTTGTACGCTTTCCTTGTATACATTATCATTATTTAATCTTAGTTTTCCTCTTATCTGTCTCATCCCAGCTATACATTACGTTGTCTGGCAGCACTGATGTTTTCCATCTTGGACGGAATCACACTCCTTGATTTGGTTAACTAGCCAGTCCCATTTTCAGTAATTGGTATCATTCTTGGTGCCATGGGTAGAAAGGCAAAGAGCACTTAAAACTTCAAAAGATTGATAATGATGATGATGAATGTTCATGATAAAAAGTCTGAGCCTGAATCAGTGATAAAATCTAGTGGTTTATGTATTAAAGTTAAGTGCAAAATAACCAATTTAATACTTAAGAAATAGGAGTCATTAGAAATCCTCCAATCTTTTCAGGTCACGAGTGTGAATGCCAAGGTAGACAAGCACCCTCGATTGTAAAAGCCAGATTATTCCACCTATGGCCCTCAAGAGTTCTCCTTGCCTTCTAGCATCAAATAATATTTCTCTATTAACTTGTTTATAAGCTTTTTAAAGATATTTACTGTGGAATTCACCCTAACAGTACAACTCAGTGGTTTTTAGTATAGTCAGATTTGTATAACAATCACCACTACTGAATTTTAGGACATTTTAATGACCCCAGAGAGAAACCTGTATCCACTAGTAGTCCCACTCCATTCCTCCCTGCCCCTATCAATCTACTTTGTCACCATAGATTCCCCTATCCTTTTGTGACTGGCATCACTCATTTAGCATATTTTAAAGGTTCAACCATGATATACCCTTTTTATGAGCAAATATTATTCCAGTATATGGAATATTATTTGTTTGCCCATCAGTTGATAAACAATTAGATTGTTTACACTTTGGGCTGTTATGGATAGTACTGGAATGAACATTTGCTTGTAAGATTTTGTGCAAATACATGTTTTCAGTTCTCTTTGATATATACTTAGGAGAATTTTTGGGTCACATGCTAATTCAATGTTTAACATTTTGACGAATTGTCAAACTGTTTTCCAAAATCCTTGCACCATTTTTCATTCCTGCTAACAGTATATGAAGGTTCCAATTTCTCCTCATCTTTGCCAACTTTTGTTACTCTCTTTTTGACATCATGTCAAAAATGATGTCAAACGTCTTTTCATGATCTTATTTAGCCATTTGTGTATCTTCTTTAGAGAAACTTCTATCCAAATACTTTGCCTTTAAATTAAGCTATTAGTCTGATCATTGATGTTAAGAGTTCTTATTCTGGATATCAGTCTCTTATCAGTTACATGACTTGAATTTCTTCCATTCTTGAAATTTCGGGAAAAGTGCTCCATAGATAGAGAAACTCCTAGAATAGGACTCCAAACTGTTCCATGGTATTCTGTAGGTATGTTTATATCTATAGTGAATTGGGACCCTTTGTTTAACCCTAAATCCTTTTTCTCCCTTGAGTTGGTCTTAAGGAAAAGGTATCAAACTTGAAAATAAGGATTGGAGGAATATCCAGAGTTGTTGGAGTACAGGACCTCCTGATTATGGAGAACCTGGGAATATGAATCTACTTGAACACTTGACCAAGCATGTTTAGTATCGTGTTGCTGCCTCACCCTTCTTTGCCAACTCCTGCTTCTTCACTTTCTTATCTATTAGGGATTCTTGACATCAAACCAACTAACTACTCTCCTAGGAGCTCCATCAAAAAAGCAATTAGACCACAAATCCCTAATGTGAACTTTGCCTAATTTGGTGTCAGTATCTTGGTACTTTGCTTTATATATGTTGATTGTGGATCACTCCTGTCCACATCCCACCCAATATGTCCATGTCCTAAGAACACTTTATCCAGCTTGAACAAAGCTTTGTAAATATTTGTAGCTACATACAGTAAATAATAGCAATACCACGGGGCAAGTGCTGTGACACAGTGGGTTAAAGCCTTGGCCTGGAGCGCCAGCGTCCCATATGGGTGCTGGTTTGAGTCCTGGCTGCTCCACTTCTGATCTAGCTCTCTGCTATGGCCTGGGAAAGCAGTAGAAGATGGCCCATGTCCTTGGGCCCCTGCACCCACGTGGGAGACCCGGAGAAGGCTTCTGGCTCCTGGCTTCAGGTCAGCACAGCTACGGCCATTTTGCAGCCATTTGGGGAGTAGGCCAGCGGATGGAAGACCTCTCTCTCTGTCTCTACCTCTCTCTCTAACTCTGTCTTTCAAAAAAGAAAAAAAAATAGCAATACCAGTAATTATTTACTCCATCATTTTCTAAAGTGAATAGTAATTGCACACACCTGATTAATGTACATATTCTATTGGTACAGAGAACTTAACAACATAATCATACTTGACACAAAAATGCACAATTGGTTCAAAGCTCCAGTGGTTTCCAAGGAGCCCGGGAAATATCCTCTTTTTCCTGCTTCTAGCTTGCACCAGCTGCACTGGTGGCATTCTGGTTGGAGTTTTGTTTTCTGAACAAGAGGCTGATTTATTTACATGGTATTCAGATGTGCCTGGCTGCTTTGGGTACTTACTTTGAAGGGCCATTACAAATTTACTATGATCTGCTGCCTTTTATTTTAAGTACAATTAAGTGGATAGCCACAAATAGCTCTGACCTTGAAAATCTAAGTGAAGGTGAGATTGAGAACAGGCTTAGGAAACATATGTTTTGACTGTTAGTGCTCTGCAAATCACACACACACTTAAGGAAAATAAATAGAACAGGACAAGATAGTGTTGTGCTTTAGAAGGAAAAATGTTAGCGCCCCGGGAAATTGTACCACATGCTTCACTGGTGGATAATAATGAACTGGGTTAAAAATTAATCCGACCGTATCCCCACTTCATTGGGTGACTCTGGGAGAAAGAGGCCTCCAGTAGGTGATAATGCCAGTGACGTTCATTGCAATCACCTCTGCTGCATGCCACTATTAGCCATCTTCTTTCCTCTCAGCAATCCCAATACGTGCTTTTAGTTATTTATTTTTAGTAAAATGGTACTTAGAGTACCATGCTACCATTTCAGGTCAGTTTCTTGATAATGTGGATTGCAGGACAAATCTTTGGGAGTAAAATGGATTGTTTAAAAAACATTGTCAGCATGGGGCTTTTTATTAAAATTCATACAGAGTCCCCACGGTGAGTTATAGAGGCTTAAAGAACTATTTTTTAACCATCTTTAGAATACAATATTAAGTATTTGTCATATGCTGCGAGCTACTCTTCTCTTTTAACCTAATCAATCCTAGGGAAATAAATGCTTGTCTGAGACATTTATTGACTGACTGAATGGCCAGTGTTAAGTTTTAATTTCTATAAAACAATTTTAAAATATCTCTATGTTCCTACTATGTCATTAAATATTCCAGAATTGCAAGAGTTGCATATGCATTTATCTCTCCCAAGTTTTCTAGATCCGGTAATGGAAGGAGATGGCCTTTCCCAGACCTCACGGGATAGTGTGTTAATTAGTGAGGTAATAGGAATGGATCATTCACTCTCTGAGCCATGTGAAAGCAAAACTACAGACACAAGGAGACAGTGGAGAATACTGAGTGAGGATGGCAGGAAATAGGAGTAGAATAATTTCAAGCACCTTTTCAGTGTAGGGTTAAATAATTTTTTATAGAAAGGATTGCTGTAATGTAAATATCCTGAAAAGCGCTCATGTAGCAATCTTTTTTTTTTTTTTTTTTTTTTTTTTTTTTTTTTTTTTTTGACAGGCAGAGTGGACAGTGAGAGAGAGAGACAGAGAGAAAGGTCTTCCTTTGCCATTGGTTCACCCTCCAATGGCCGCCGCGGCTGGCGCGCTGCGGCCGGTGCACCTCGCTGATCCAATGGCAGGAGACAGGTACTTCTCCTGGTCTCCCATGGGGTGCAGGGCCCAAGTACTTGGGCCATCCTCCACTGCCCTCCCTGGACACAGCAGAGCTGGCCTGAAAGAGGGGCAACCGGGACAGAATCCGGCGCCCCGACCACGTCTAGAACTTGATTTCATGGGACCTTGCAGAGTGGCGGGTTTGCACTTGGGACCCAAAGCGACGCGACCCATGTAGCTCATCCTGAAATTTGTTTGAGTGGGGGTAAAAACCCCATAAAGTTCCACTTATACCAAAGACCCTTTTTATCCAGATACCCAGAACAGAACCAGAATCAAAAGCCAAGAGGAGGCCGGAGCCACGGCTCATTAGGCTAATCCTCCGCCTTGCGGCGTCGGCACACCAGGTTCTAGTCCCGGTCGGGGCGCCGGATTCTGTCCCAGTTGCCCCTCTTCCAGGACAGCTCTCTGCTGTGGCCAGGGAGGGCAGTGGAGGATGGCCCAAGTGCTTGGGCCCTGAACCCCATGGGAGACCAGGATAAGTACATGGCTCCTGCCATCAGATCAGCACGGTGAGCCGGCCGCAGCGCGCTGGCTGTGGCGGCCATTGGAGGGTGAACCAATGGCAAAAGGAAGACCTTTCTCTCTGTCTCTCTCTCTCTCACTGTCCACTCTGCCTGTCAAAAAAAAAAAAGCCAAGGGGAAAGTGAGCAGCGGAATATAAGTCAGAAAATCAGTGCTCTGAATTTCAGGAACTTAATCATAAAATAACTTCTGGAAATTTTATTAGTTTGTTTACTTTTGTCTTATATAGAATTCAAATAAGTTAGGCTTCTGAGCCAATAAAGAAATTAGAAGCAGAAAACTGTGGCCTGTATTGCATAAAGATGGGTAAGGTATTGAGTTTAAGGAGATTCCTGTGTGCACAGTGACAGAGATTCCTGCTACTGGCCAATTCAATGTTTTTAAGCAGACTTTAAAAGGCTCTTTTCTCTCAACAGACCAATTATAAAAGACACACACACACACACACACACACACCTGGTCCACAGGTACAGAACATGATGAACAGAGGCTACCCTGGGTGGGCAGATGCAGTACCTACCAGGTTAGGGCATGGGATGTGGGATCTGCTCCATCCTCAGCCACGAGCCTCTGGCAAGTACACAAATGCACAGCATATGCTATGGCCCTTCTAATTGCATCATCAAGAGAGGTAATGACAATAAGTATCAGAAGAATGGTAAGGACACACAAGAATACAAGAATATTTTTGGGGGGCCAGAAAGTGCAGGGCTAAATCACAGTCCCTCACCTTCTCATGGCACCTGTAGGCGTGAAAGTAATAAGAAATCAATGCTGATAATACCCACAGAAACATTGAGAAAGTTTCAGTTGTGTCCCATGTGGCTTGTGGTAGAGGCAATAGAACTGTTGAGACATGTTTTAGGGTGAAGGATGGAAGTGAAGGTGACCCCTATGTTCAGACACTTGTTCCATGATCCAGGTGGGTAATGATGGTTGTTTGGCCTGAAGAGTAGCAGTAGCTTCAGAGAGATGACAAAATTCTGGATATATTGAAAAAGTAGTTAATAGTGTTTGCTGCTGAATAAGTGCAGCAGGTGATAACAAGACTAGAATCAAGTGTGATACCTAGATTTTTGGTCTATGTAATTGGAAGAATGGAACTGTCACTAATAGAGATAGGGAATCCTTCAGAAGGAGTGACTATGCAGCAGAAGACAGAGGAGTTCAATTTTGTATTTAAGTTTAATAACTCAATGGTTAAATTTAACATTTCAGTGGGGATATAGTATAGGTACCTAGATATAAATTGAATTCAGAATAGAAATAGCAGTTCAGAAATCATGAGATATATGTAAATCTAGAAACCGTAGTCTGTAAAGTCATAGGGCTGAATAAAATCATGGGGGTATAAGTGTAGACAGAGAAGAAGTCAAAGGTTTGAATCTTGGGCTTCATAGCATTGAGACTTGAGGAAAATGAGCAGGGGCCAACAAAAGAGACCTGGGAAGCAGCACCCACTCAGAAGGAAGGAAAATAAGGAAGCCAGAAGAAGTAGGTATGTCAAAGAAGATGGAAGGATTGTGCCAGATGATGGCCAACTTGGAAGAGAACAGAGATTTGGACATTTAATTTAGCAATGAGGAAGTCCTGGTCACTTGGAAAGAGAAATTTTGGCAGAGAGATGGGGTGAAATCTGGTGAAGTGAGTTCAAGAAATAGAAGAACTGAAATTAGAGACACTTGTAAAGGGGATCAAACAAGTGTGTAGACACCAGAAGAAAATGTAGTGTCAAGAGATTTAAAAAAGAGCAGGAAAAATAATATAACTTCTATGTGATAATGGAAAATTCACAGCAGAGGAAAGATTTGATGATGCAAGGGAACAGAGAATCACTAGTGCAATGTGTTTGAGTGAGTAGGGATGGGCAGGAGATTTTGTACACAAAATGGAAAGGTGGGGCCTGATGGGCACACACTTGGTAAGGGGAGAAGCTGAGGAACTGCACAGCTAAGGCAAGGGATGAGTGTGTTTGTGGAACTTGTGGAAGTTCTCTTTCTGATTCTGTTTAGGCAGTAAAATAGGAAGCAACAAAGTGACAAACTTTGATTGAAAAATGCTTTGATGAATAATAGAAGTCATCTGCCAATCAAGTCAGATTGAATTACAAGTCTGCAGTGCTTGAAAAGTCAAGAAGCAGAACAAAAATATTAATCTACCTTGTTTTAAAAGATATTATTATTATTATTAACAACAGGACATTTATATGTAGTTTGTAGGCTTAAAGGCTGACTTTCTCACTACCTCAGGAGCCTCAGTTATGTCAGGATATGGTTTATGCTAGGAACAGAGAAGTCCATTGAACTGTAAATTGCATTAGGCAGAAATTTTTTTCACACATGAATCTCTAATATCAAAATTATTTAAAAATAATTTTTAAAAATTCTTTAAATTATTTATGCTTTATTTGAAATGCAAAGAGACAGAAAAGGAGATAGAGACAGAAAGAAATCTTTCATCTACTGGTTCACTCCCCAAATTCTCACAATGGACACAAATGGACCAGGCTGCAACCAAGAGCCCAGAATCAAATCCAAGTCACTCACACTGTTGGAAGGGAGCCAAGCAGTTGAGCCATCACCTGCTGCCCCCATGGTGCTCATCAGCAGGAAACTAGAACTGGGCTAAAACTTGAACACAGGCACTCCATTATGGGATGTGGATGTCCCAAGTTGTGCCTTAACCACTGTGCCAAATGCCTACCTCACATTAAATAATCATTGAATGAATGATATCAAAACCAAGGGCAACATGAGTATTTTTCATTTAAAAGTTTACAGCACTTATTTTAAGTGATTTGATTCTACAATTTCAATTTTTCATCATTCATGTGAAAGTGTCCATATGGTCACAATGCTGCTATTTTCCTCCAAACACTTGGTTCTTGTGAACTGATTAAAGTATATTGTTTATAGCTCTGCTATTATGGGATAATTTCAGAGGCTTCAATGCATAAACTCACTTTACAGTTGAAAGGCTGGCAGAATCTCGGTGCAGAATGTAAATCTGCTCCCTGGTCTTATCTGGCCCAATCTTGTTATTAAGTGGTTATGGAAATCATAATGTTTAATGGGTAAAATGCCGGGCACCATCTGTTGGTGAGTTGGACACCTACACTGAGAAACCAAATATGATTATGAAAATTCAAAACAGGGTCCTCTGGTATTTAAGTTATGCCAACTTATTACCATATGGCAGGCATTGTAAAAATCAGAAGCTAAATAGAAGCATTATACTTTGTGTTACAGGTCTGGGGGCCTGTTTGTAGTTGTCTTTTGTTTGATCGTCTTTGTAAACAACAGGATAACAAAGTAAGCTAATTGTACTTTTTTCCCTTTGCTTGGCAAGATGAGTTTCCTCATGTAAATCAATAGACTGCCTACTGATTGCTGTGCAATCTTAAGAAAGCCGTGCAAGCACTTTTGCAATCTATCCCAGAAGCCTCAGAGAAAAGGTGCACTGCAGTATGAGGTAAGCTCTTGAGTCAAGGAGACAGATGACTTTGGCATAGTAGAACAAGAGAATATATTTTAGCTCCAGTTTGCTTGTTTAGCAGGCATTGTTGTCAGATACCAGTGATAAGTAGGGAGTAAAACAACTTTCTTAATTGAGGTGCTGGATTTAATGCTGATGAAAAGTAAGCATCTTCCTTACTGAAGACAAACTAGACCTGACAAGGTTCTCTCCTCCCCTTGGGCCTTCTCACTTGTGCAACTCAACCTCACTGAATGTCTTGAAGGTTACACTATTCCCATGGGCTTAATGGTTTCATGGGCCAACAGACAGAAACCATGATCTCTTGTTTCTTTTCCCCAAGAGAAATTTATTTTCCAAAGAATACATTCTCTTCTTTTTCAAGACCTCATGGAAACAAATAAGGAAAGGTTAAAATTCCACATGGAATAGTTGTAATTACAAAGTGTGTGAAACTTTCTGACTCTACAAACAGAACATTTATGGTTGTTCCTGTCCTCATCTTCCAGAGGAGGGCTGAGGTTCCACTCCTGTGGACAAACATAAAGTGATAAAATAGGACAGTGGAGTTGGAATTGGAAATCTCTTCCATGTCGGTCTCCTTTTTCAGATTCATCAGGTGAAAGGACAGACTTCATGTTTATTTGAAACTCTAGGATGATCTTTAGTGCCTCCCAAAGCTAAATCAATTGTCATACAACAACATGATTGCCTAAGTAAAAAACCTCACTTGGCCATGTTGTACTTGGATATATGATCTCTAGAAACTGAGATCATGAATGGATGTGGCTTTAGGTCTCAAGTTTGTGGGAATTTGTTATAGCAGCAATAGAAAATTAATGCATCCACAATAGGAATATCATATAAAAACTTGCCCAAAAGTGTTGGATAATCAATAGCTAAGCTTTGAGCATTTTCAAAGAATTACCATAGAATGCTTAAGCTCATGATCTACTTCTGCTTACAGTCCCTCAGGAATTGCTTTTTTTATATCTTTGCTTCTACAGTTTTTTAAAACTCCTCTGCAGAAGAACACATCCATTTGTGTATGGATTCATTCATCAAATATTTATTATTTATCAACTATGCATGTGCCTGGCACTCAGTTGGGCATTTGGAGATAAAAATCTGACAAATGATCACTGCACATCAGGAACTCAAAGATACGGAAACAGATCATTGTACGCAGTTTGAAGGTTATAGTTTGTCACATAGGACTCTTAAACCAGGTAGCAGGGAACTTGGTGAATTTGCCATGATCAGGAGTCTGGCTGTCAGTACAGGGGAAGGAATCATAAGCCTTATTGTGATGGCTCAGTGCAGACATAGTCTCTCAGAGGTAGACTTGTATTAAGCAAGCTTATTATGGTTGATATATATTAATACAAATCCAATTAGATCTCATTAAAATACAATACGAACTACATCTCTAAAACCAAATGGGAAGTTCAAATCAGTGCCTTATCTGCCTGTAGGCAAGTACATGGAAAACAAAATTATTATAATCAGGATGACCATCTAATAATTTACAATAAGAAATTAAACTGTCAAGTTGATTGGTCCTACAGGCACATTGGCTCTGTACAGATAACAAAATGGGGAGCCAGAGTATGACATCATGAGGGACTTAAGTGTTGTTTGCTAAAACAGCCTGACAGATTCTCACCCACAGCAGGGAGCACCTTACTAGGGAAAAAGGAGCCCTTGCTTAGTAAAGAGTTCCTCTACATTTGAGCACTGCTGGACAGGCTTATCCAGCTCTACCTCTTTGCTGTACTTCCACACCCTTTCACCTATTTCCCACACAAGTTTTGTGAAAGAGTGGGCTCCTGGCTGATCAGCTAAGATGCTGGTTTAGACAACAATATCATACATTGGAACACCTCAGTTTGATTCCTGGCTCTGGCTCCAGCTTCTGACTCCAGCTTCCTGCATTAATGACTCAGGTAGTTGGGTGCCTGTCACATAGGAAATCTAGATTGCATTCTTGGCACCTGGTTTCAGTCCTAGCCATTGTGGGCATTGGGAGAGGGAACCAGCAGATAGATAAATGGGTATCTTTTTCTCTCTTTCTCTCCCCCCCAATAAATAAATAAATAAATAAATAAGTTGAATTGAAAGTTAGGTTTATTTTGGTACAAAAAACTTTGAAATGTATGCATAATTTTTTCATAATTCACATTTTCCATGAAGTTTTTGATGTACTCTCATATTTTCATAAGAGAATAAAATAGGCAATTATTTTTTTACTTAATAAATTACAATCTTTTTTAGTTCTTTAAGATTACTCCTGAGTCCTAAAATTTGTGATATTCTTATATTTTTATTTCCACATTACAGGGCAGTCTTTTGGGTTTTTTTCTCATAGAGGACTAGTCAACACAATATAATAACTGCTGTAATAGAAGTGTATAGAGGGACTGATGCAAACTCAGGATAAGAAGAAACTAACAGTTATTGAATTCTACTAGGGACCAAGTACTGTGACAAGGATTCTACATGTATTATATTGTGTAATCCTGTAAGAACCCCATCATGTAAGAACTGGAGATTAAGGAACCTATCCATGGTTACAAAGCAAACAAAAGGTAGGACCAGGATTTAAGCCTAAGCCATTTGAGCCCAGAGCTTATGCTCTTAACTCTTATGCCATACTGTCTCTCCTGAATATTTTGGTCCTTACACCTACTCAGCAGGATGGAGAGGTGTATCATTCAAGGCTCAGTTGCAGAAAATAGAATCTAGTCTATTATTTTAAATAGAGGGATTTAATGTAGGAACTTGGTGCTTATCAAGTCTTTGGGAAGGATGGAGAAGCAGGCTGGGCCTCCAGAAGTGATTCTCATATCTCACTGTAAGACTGGCCTGCCCAGAGAGCTTCTGCTTCTGCTTAATCAGGAAGGCAGGGAATCAGGAAGCTGCCTCTGGAACTGCTGCATTCTGGAACAGTCCATTAATACTTCTCAGTCCTTATCTTTATTAGTAAGCACCACAGGTTAATAATTTAAAAAATTTCCTTCCCATGATTGGTAGGAGAAAGAGCAGAAGTACAACCTCCGCTTTGATTTTCACCTTCTAAGTCTAGCTTAAGAATATCTGATTGGCTAAACCTAAATAATATCCTGTACTATAGCTGCAAGGGAGCCTGGAAAATGTTAGTGTTATATATCCTAAAACTGTAGTTCTGGAAGGCATGCAAGATGGAAGGTGGAATAGGTAGTGGGCACCAGTCTCTGTGCTGTGGAGGAGTTCCAGGCTCCAAAGTTGAAGTATCCAAAGTCATATAATGATAGGGGTGATCAGGCTCTCATCAAGTTGGTTACACTCCAAGCCTCCTGTTTATCATAGCCTTTTCCATTGCCTAAATCAGCCTTAGTGGGAAACCAGCTGTATTATAAGGATGGCTTCATGAAGAAACTGGCTCTTAAATGATAAACTATGGTCCTGGGAAGGCAATGAGGGGGACAGGGCCTGTGGCTGCAGGTGGATCCTTTATCTCACTCTCCCACTCTGTGTGGTTCCTTTTTCGGAATCTCTGAGGAATCAATTCAGTGGCTAATCTTGGCGAGAGCTAAGTAGTGAGCTTTTTGACCTCCATGTTATAATTTAAGTTGTTAATGTTGTGTAAAGGTTTGAGACCTCTGGTTTTTTTCCTTATTTCATTTTTTCAAGTGTGTGTCATTCTTGCATGCACATTCAAGCCAAAGAGATGGCTGAGGGTTGGGGACACCAGGTGGTCAGCTGATTGGTGCTTGTGGGTTGTTTGATCCATGCCTTGTCTCTCCCTGGAAAGGGAGGGAAGCCTCTACATAGAGAGGCAGCAGCCACTACAGTTCCGAGCGTGAAGTCGGACTTCTCTCACACTTGTGTGTTGAGGAGACTCAGATGTTGGCCTCAGCTCCTGGGCTGAACTCAGCAGATCAGCCCGTGTCTGTACTGAGAGAAAGGAAAGGATCGGCCAGAGAGCAACAACACCTATTATCCTGGGCTTGGCAGCAAGGAAGAGGACAGGTGGTGGAAATCTTGCAATCTGAGAAGCAGACTGAAAGGTGACAAAGAAGCTAAAGATGGGTGGTGGAGAGAGGTTTCACATTCCAGCCCTTCAATCTAGAAATATTAGTAAGAACCAACAACAGCTTAACAGACAGAAGGCCAATGATCAGAATTCCCATATGCAGATTGTTCATAAGAAAAAAGAAAGAGGACATGCTTACAACTCATCAGCAACCACATGGCAGGCCATGCAAAACGGAGGGAAGAACAAAAACTTCCCAAATAATCAAAACTGGGGCTCGAACTTGGCCAGTCCTTGCTTACTTTTTAAGCCACAAGCCAATCAGAACTATTCTGGAGCCAAATTCAGTGAGCAGCCATCACCAAATGTTCTTCCCAAACCTCCAAGCCACTGGGTTCCTGTTTCCTTTAATCTTTCAGATAAAGAAATAATGACATTTCAACTTAAAACCTTACTTAAAGTACAGGTGTAAAACAGATAAGTGCTAATGTTTAAATTGGCCTGAAACAAATTTGACTACGGAGTTTACTCTATTTGTGTAAAACTAGTTAGCGTAAGCATACATCATCTCATTTGTTTTGTGTGCATTGTGATGTAAAGGTAGGATCAGTGCTACTTAAGGTAACTAATTGTACTTCATACTAAATGTCCTCAATTGAGTAACTTTGAAGTGAAACAATTCAAGTTTGGATTCCTGTTGAAGTTTAGATATAGGCGAGGGCAAAGAAATAAGTTTTCTACTGTCTGTTGGAGGAAAGTAGCTAAGATTATCATTCATGGATTAGTAGTGAGTTGTTTAAGGTTAGTGAATCAAATTAATCACCTAAGACAAGGATTGAGAACTAGTTGAACCTTTGAAAGCTTATGTTATAGAAATACTCAGACTAGTAATATGTCAACAACCCAATGCACTGCCAAAAGAAAATGTGAATTTTCCTTAATAAGTTAGTTTAGTGGATTATGCAGTAGTGAATGTGGAAAGGACACCAAGTTTACCCGTTGGCCTTCTTAACTGCAGTTGGCTAGATGTCTGCCAATGAATGCATCCAAACCATTTTTTATAGGAACATATTTGATAGTCACTCAATAGTTTTCAAATACATTTTTTGTATTACAGTACTGCACAAACTATTCTGACAGTGATCTGACCTCTTAACATTCCTGCAAAGCTTGCTTTAAGTGGGAAATTGTATAATGTGAAACTTAAGTTTCTAGGGAAGAAAGAGCCATATAAATACATATAATTTTGTAGCATATGTAAAGTTTTCTCAGATTTTATCTTACAAAGAGTATTTTGGTATGAACTTGCTGAATGTAAGACCATGGACTGTTTTTATACTATTACCTAATCTTAAAGATCTGAAATGTTTTTAGTTTGCCCCTGTGCTGAAGTGACTGATTTGGATGTAAACTATATTTCAAAGGGGAAAAAAAAGAGAGATGGCCAAGCAGGCAATCACTGCACTTGGTAGGGAAAGAATGAGAAAATACAAAAGCAAGGAAGTGCTAAAGGAACCATGAAACTTGGCTTACCATTCACAGTAATGTAATTTAATTCATTCTTTAAAAACTAGAAGCGAACAAAATGTAAAATAATGATGGTGGTTCAAAAATTATGATTGTTTTGTGCCAGTTCTGATTGATAAGCACCAAACTGCATAGAAATGGACAAGTCATTTGTCAGGTCGTTAATATTTTTTCTGCATTCTTTGTTCTGCTCATCAGCACTTAGAACTCTCCAGGATAAGAGCTATCTCTATTCTTGAAAACTTTATTGATTGCCCTATGGATGAAATTCTGGGTTATATAAATGTTGGGACTTGGGAATCTGAGACATCAGAAGAGCTGCCCTTGTGAATATCAGCTCAGTTGAGAGATGTGGTTAGATGAGAAGTGAGTCAACAGCATGTCCCTGTCCTCACTGCTTGCTGAGTCATGGAAACCACTAGTGGTCTGAGGACTTCAAAAGGTGCCTTTGGTGTCCTTACACGGACTCTTCCCCATCCAGTCAGAATGTGCAAAGTCTTCCCACTGAGTCAGAATGTGCAATGATAAAAAGTGAATAATGGCCCCATTCTACTCTGCACTGAAGGATCAGGGACCTCCTTTGAAAGCTTTCACTTAGGAATTCTGATATTTTCCTCTTTTTGGCATATGCCAATTTCCCTCATTTTGTCTGCTTATTCATGTAGAGAACCTTGTGTATAATAGGAGGGTATTTCAAAAAGTTCATTTAAAATGTAATTAAAAGATAAGACAATTTTATGTTAGAAAAATTTTAAATCCACATATTGTAAGATCTTCAAAAAATTCATGAGAAAATGCATATTATAGAAAACCTATGCATACATCTTCTATTTTTTACACCAAAATAAACCTAATTCTTTTCTTCCATAAACTTTCTGAAGTACTCCTGGAGTAGTTAGGAGCCTAGACTCTGGTGCCAGATTATCTTGGTTAAAAATATGGTATGGCCACTTATTATCTGTATTACCATGGGGAAGTCCCTTGGTTTTTCTGTTCTTCCATGTTCTCATCTATAAAATGTGCATAACAAAATGAGCATTTAGCCTAACAATTAAGGTACTGGCATCACATATCAGCGGGCCCAGGTTTTATATCTAACTCCATTCCTGACTCCAGATTCCTGATAATGCAAGCACACCATAGGAGGCTTCACTAATGGCTCAAGTAACTGAGTTTCTGCCATGCATATGGGAGATCTGAACTGAGTTCCTGATTTTCAGCTTCAGCCCAGCCCAACCTCCTGCTTTGTGGGCATTTGAGGAGTGAACCAGCAGATGAGGGTTCTTTGTTTTTCTCTTTCTCCCTAATCAGTAAATAAATAAATTAATTTTAAAGTACTTACTGCTAAGAAAAAATAAAATGAAATGGGCATGGTAGTAGTATCTACTGCTCAAGGTCATGTGAAGATTAAATGATTACACACACAACACACACACACACAACACACATACACATCTCCTAAGTATTTGCTGTTGATGTGGACTGTTCATTTCTTCTTCACACAACCATATGATGTAGGTATTTATTAAGATTATAAATATATGAGTAAAACTGAGTTTCAGTGAGTTTTAGGAGTTTTCCTACTGTCCTAGGTTTATAAAGGGCTGAGCCATGGTCCAGCTCCCCAGGACTACATGACGGCATAGCCCTACTACATGGGATTTTCATTCACCACGATGACCCATTTGACAGATTTAACACTCAAAGAGACAGCATCTTCTTTTTTCCAGCCATAGGGAATTAGAGTCTTTCTCATTGGAACTAGATGTAACCTTTCAGTTTCTGGGTCTGAATTAATCTATTACTTTATGAACACACCCCCTCCCCTTCCAATTGTTGCTCCACACTTGACTCCTGCTAGTACTTACACGATATCTCACCTTTCCTGGATCGCTTATATCCACCAAGAAAAACCACCTTCCTTCTAACCCCCAATCCTGGATCAAGAGTTCATTCCTCATGCACTTGTTACTCCAGTTTCTGTTCTTTCTTCTTCTCTGGCAGGCAACTAGCAACAGATGCCTCATAAGCAAATACCTATCAGGCACTCATCAAATGAACATTTTTAAGGTCAGATTCCTCCATTTGACAACTTTTTCCCTACATGGAAAGTACTGCATTGTACATTCTAATTTGGGGGACAGAATGATTTCTTTCAGAGAGGCAGCTGGTACACAGAAAGGAGCAGAACCAGTTCTCTTGGAGAAGATCAGTGGAATCATAGTGCATATTCTCAGAAATGTCTAACACAGTCGGGCCTCCCTCTGTTTCCTGGTAAAGCGCCTTCCTGAGCCGCCTCCACCCTCCTTCCCACTTCTGATCCTCAAGTCACATATGCCCTAGAGAAAGACCCACAGTCCTATCTGCAGTGTCTAGGAAGGAGGCAGGGGGGCAGGTCAGGTGGGCCTGGCACCCCATCCTCTGTTCCTGAATCATGCTTGATGGGACAGTTAGGGTCATGGCTGCAGAGCTGTGGAACTCGTAGCTGCCAGTATCTGATTCCTTTACCCACCAAATTCTCTGAATCCTCTTCTCTCTCCCAACATCATTTGAAATTTCTCAGGGTGAAGCAAACGGACCAGAGATTTTCAACACTGGCTGCACATTAACATCACCTGGCAAGTTTCCATAAGATTCTCTAGGTCCCAGTCCACCAAAGACTTCTTGGTTCTTGAATGTGCCCGAGCATCAGTATTTCAGTGGGTTAAGGTGCTGCCTTGCAACACTGACATCCCATATGGGCACAAGTTTGTGTCCAGCTGCTTCACTTCTTTTTTTAAAAAAGATTTTATTTATTTATTTGAGAGGTACAGTTACAGACAGTGATAGGGAGAGACAGAGAGAAAGATCTTCTGTCCGTTGGTTCACTCCCCAAATGGCTGCAACGGCCGGAGCTGTGCCGATCCGAAGCCAGGAGCCAGGTGCTTCTTCTCAGTCTCCCATGTGGGTACAGGGGCCCAAAGACTTGGGCCATCTTCTACTGCTTTCCCAGGCCACAGCAGAGAGACGTATTGGAAGAGGAGCAGCCAGGACTCGAACCGGCACCCATATAGATGTTGGCACTACAGGCTGTGGCTTTACCTGCCCCATAGCTGCTTCACTTCTGATTCAGCTCCCTACTAATGTACCTAGGAAAGCCCCTGTACCCATGTGGGAGAACAGGATGAAGCTCCTGATTCTTGGCTTCAGCCTGGCCCAACCCTGGCCATGGCAGCCACTTGAGGAGTGAACCAGTGTGTTGAAGGGTCTCTTTCTCCCTCTGTCTTGCCCCCCTCCCTCCCTGTAATTGTGCCTTTCAAATAAATAAATAAATCTTTAAAGAAATTATCAGGTACTTCTACTCTACATCTGAGTTGAAATCACCATCCTACTACTAGCTCTGGTACTTTGGCCAGCCCTTCACATCTTTGCTCTTTGTCTCAGTTTCTTTTGTCAAATAGAGATTATGCTAGTACTGGCCTCAGAGGGTTTTCTTTTTCAGGATTAAACAGCTAAAATAGAAAAGGGGGCATGGAAAACTGTCCAGCACATAAACACTCAGCCAATGTTCATCAAATTGATTTTACTGCAATAATTATAGTCAGCATTTTCATTAAATTCTAGGAATTCAAAGGTGGGTAAATCATAGTCCTGCCCCCATGCTCATAATCCTGTGGGAAAAACATGTCCCTGACACACTCAGTAGAAAGTGCTAAGCCCCATGGTGAAGACCAATATGAGTGCCATGGGAAGGCAAACTAGGTGGTGGTTCAATGTGCAATGGAGAAGGAAGTGGGCTTACCACATGCAGGGCTAGTACTAGAGCAGCCTCTTGCAGGATGAGTTGCCAGACAAAGCAGGGTAGATAGAGAGACTTTTAGGTAAAGGAACAGTTTTTGCAGAGTCTTCATGATGTAAAAGAGTGTCAGGTCCCAGACAACTACTCAGCAGTTTTGCACCATCTTTTGTGGGGGAAAGTGATGGTTGAGCTACTGGTAAGAAAAACCATGGCCAAACCTTTTAGAACTGTGTGCTTTCCTGGTGAATTTTGGATTTTATTCTCTAGGCATGAAAAGCTACTTACATTTTTAAGAAATGGAGAAATAGCCTCAGAATTTTGTTTTAGAAAGCTATCTCAACAGCAAGGAAAAGAGTAGGTTAAAAAGGAAATGGCAGGGTGGAGGGAGTTCGGGTCA